ATACTTGCAAAGAAGTCAGAGTAGACAAACTTCCATTAAGGAGCACTTTACCACATAAGAATATTGATAGGAATGCTGGGCCAGCACATGAGACACGCACAGTTAAAGAGTCTCAGCTATTGCCCTTTTTACACTTTGTCTTCCCACCTAGTCTCCCCTCCACTGAAAGAAAGAAATCACACCAATTACTTCTGCTTTGCTAGAAATACTCTTTTGGAAATGGACACGTATGGTGGTGGGAGCTTGTACCATAGCCATGGCAAAGGTCTACTGGCACACTTTTGCGCATCAGGTGATTATTTTGTTATTTAAATGCATAGAACCAACTTCATAATCTCTGGCCACTTCAGATTCTGAAAGAACTAAATAGAAAAAGACCAACTGGAGGACCTTAACAGTTGATTTCACTGGAAGGTATGCGATGCAAGGATGTTGCGAAGTACAAACTCAAATCCAGTTAGGCTACTCTGAGACTCCCATTTGGTCGCTATTCACATTCCCCTCCATCAGTTCTGAGCATGGTCTTCAGTGGTTTCAATTATGCTGGGTTCATACCGTTTGGGAATTTGTAGTGGCTGAAGATCACCAACTGGTAGCCCTTCTGGTGTAAAATATTTCAGTAATTCTTTAGCATCAAGCAATGTCAATGACTCCCGTTGGCTATCTTTATGCCCCAGCAATTGCTCAGATGAATGTGCAAACATAGAAACTCTGAAAAAAGGAAAAGAAAAAAAAAGACCAATCTAAGAATTTTTTTCCTCTTTTCAATGTAGTAATCTCTTTGTATTTAAAAAAAAAATGTTTAATTGCTCCAGACTAGCAGTGATTTTTAATATATTTCCAAAGCAAAATGAACAAGGTTACTCCTTGAGAACATTTACACGAATATTAACGATAAAGTGTATTTGATGCAATTTCTCTATCATCCTACTGAAGAAAGTAATTTCTTCAAGATTTTATAGCTTAGTTATGAAATACAACATGGGTAGAACATTATTCTTCCCTATTTTCCATTTATGGACCTGCAAGATCAAAACTAGTATCCGTTAAAAAAAAAAAAAAAAAAAAAAAAAAAAGACATACCATATGCAGCCAAGGAACCATAAAGCCACTACTGCATGCAACTCTCCACTCTTTTTTTTTTTTTTTTTAGTGTCCTCAATCAAGTATAACAAATCTCTCTCTTTTCTACTGTTAAGCAACATGCTGTACACTGATTCAGGATGAGCAGAAGATAACCATTTCAGAATACAATGAAATAAACATTAACTGACTATGAAACAGAAATGTCCTTTCAGAAACTTTTCAAAAGCTAATTAGAAAGAACTTTACCTGTTTGCGAAACAAAAGCCAATAATAATAATAACAGAATAATAATAATATCCATGAGAAAGCAGAGATCTAATGTGAGACTTTCTGACATGCAAAACTCCAATGCAGGCCATGGCCAAATATGATATTTGAAAGATAGAAATGGGGCGGAAGTAACTAAGAAAAAGGCAGTAGGGACACGTGGCTCTGAAGGTCTGTCAGCAAAAATGTTAAGACCCAGCAAAGATCATTAAGTCTTTAAGTGAGAGCTAAACTGAAATCAACAGGCTGTATTAAGTGACACAAAGGTCAACAGGTTTCACTTAAATAGCACTGAAGGAAAAACAAAACTAAGTGTAAATTTCAAACATAAAACCAATAGAATCTTCTTCTGATACTAAGTCCTGACTATATAGGAAATATGAGGTGACAAGTGGTGACCCTCAGGGGTCCATACTGGGACCGGTGCTGTTTAATATATTCATCAATGACTTAGACAGCAAGATTGAGTGCACCCTCAGCAAGTTTGCAGATGACACCAAGCTGAGTGGTGCGGTTGACACACCAGAAGGTCGGGATGTCATCCAAAGAGACCTGGACAAGCTGGAGAGGTGGGCCTGTGTGAACCTCATGAGGTTCAACAAGGCCAAGTGCAAGGTCCTGAACCTGGGTCGGGGTAACCCTCGGTATAAGTACAGGCTGGGGGAAGAAAGGATCAAGGGCAGGCCTGCCGAGAGGGACTTGGGGTGCTGGTGGACGAAAAGCTGGACATGAGCCGGCAATGTGCGCTGGCAGCCCAGAAGGCCAACCGTACTCTGGGCTGCATCAAGAGAAGCATGGCCAGCAGGTTGAGGGAGGGGATTCTGCCCCTCTACTCTGCTCTGGTGAGACCTCACCTGGAGCCCTGCGTCCAGCTCTGGAGCCCTCAGCACAAGGACAGGAACTGTTGGAGCGGGTCCAGAGGAGGGCTACAAAAATGATCCGAGGGGCTGGAGCACCTCTGCTATGAGGACAGGCAGAGAGAGTGGGGGTTGTTCAGCCTGGAGAAGAGAAGGCCGCAGGGAGACCTTATTGCAGCCTTTCAGTACTTAAAAGGAGGCCTATAGGAAAGATGGGGAAAATCTTTTTAGTAGAGCCAGCTGTGACAGGACAAGGGGTAATGGCTTTAAACTGAAGCAGGGTAGGTTTAGACTGGATATAAGGAAGAAATTCTTTACAATGAGGGTGGTGAAACACTGGAGTGGGTTGCCCAGAGAGGTGGTGGAGGCCCCATCCCTGGAAACATTCAAGGCCAGGTTGGACCAGGCTCTGAGCAACCTGATCTGGTTAGCGGTGTCCCTGCTCACTACAGGGGGGTTGGACTAGATGGCCTCTAGGGGTTCCTTCCAACCCAAAACGTTCTACAATTAGAAGCACATTGTACACGCTAACAAAAACTGCTTATGCCCCAGGGCATGCTGGAAGAAAAAAAAAAAATGGCTATCAACATATACAGTTCCTCTAGAGTGATGTTCAATGACCACTACAAAGAAAATCTCCAGTATATAACCATTACCTCATTTTTTGGGTTTTTTTTTCAAAGTTTTCCAAGTTCTGAAGAACAGGTCTTTCTGGCCACTCCAACGGATTTTGCTCCATTAAATCAGATTCTGCAAGAAATATATGGCTAATCCTTAACAGAAGTAAGGAAGTAAAGAATCTTATTCTTTAAAGAAAAATATATAAGTATGTATACTCTTTCATACATCTAGACCTAGATATATAAGTATATAATTATGAGGAAAACCTGCCTTGTGCTGTGTTTTCTGCATATTTTTTTTGTCAAGGAAAAGAAAGGAGATCATTAATGTGAGGGCAATTTCAGTTTGAAAAAAAAAAAAAAGCTTAGAAAGCTACTTTACTTTTTATATTTTTCCCTCTTTTGGTAAAAGACTCTCCTTCTATTAGTAAAAACTGGAGAACAGGTATGAAAATACATCAAAAGAGAATAAGCAGCGTATTTTCTAAATAACGATACTTACCAGAGGTCACAGTGCATGACCTAGTTTTATTGGCAACCTTCTGTAGCACAGGTTTAGGAAAACTAGTGTTGCACAGGTCCCAAATATATTCTCTTGTAAGTTCTAACAAGTTTTTTAACTCATCAGTAGAAATAACTGGAGGTTGCCCAGTCAATTCTTTTCTCCCTGTAAAAGGAAAGAGAGAGAAGCTACTGCACCTGCTAATTAACAAAGGATAACTGGAGCCTGCTAAAAACCAACCAAACAAAAATCTCCACCCCAAAACAGTAACACAAGTAAGTTAACTTGACACTATTGTATCCTTGGTTTATTCAATATAAAAGTGAAAAAAACTTCGCTGTGAGAATAGCTGAAATTACACGTGAATCACCTTTTTACAGTCCTTTAATTTCTGTGTATGTGCCTTTCTGAGTATATCCAGGTTTGACTCCCTCAGAGACAAATATCTGGACATGCCGAGCCTAAACATGAAAAGCTCCGGTGTACAGAGCCTCCTACCCACCTATTTTTACTGCTGTTGCAGGAGTGTGGCTCCAGCATAACCGATAGTCTGTTCCAGTCTCTTTGGTCAGAATAACAAGGGTCAGGTAATTCTGATACGATTTAGGAAGACTAGCAAATCCCAACTGCTCCTGTTCAGTCTTCATCCTTATGACCCGCTCAAAACAAACTTAGACACAAGCTCTAAGGCAGCCCCAAGCTCAGGGTTAAAGGAGACAGGAATCTGAGAATGACTGCAAGTTGATGGGGGCGGGGGGTGGAAGACAAGACTATTAATAGAAATCTTATTTTCCTTAAGCTGGTATTCTGTTAGTGATAATACACTTAAATTATCTTCACAGTATGCCATTTTCAATAATCTAGCCAATCTCTCAGAAGAAATTTTTTGTTTTAATTGAGTCTCTTTGAGCAATGGACTTCGATGGAAAAAATCAGGACAGTCTAACGTACTTCTCTGCAAAGTCATGAAAAATCTACAGAGGATGGCCTTTCAGTTATTATTACGAATGATGTATCATGACAAATGTAGCATCTCCAATGCATGTTTAAGACTTTTACAAGAAAGACTAAAATAAAAAAAAAAACCCAAAACCGTAAAACAGAATTCTTATTTTTGCTGAAGGCACATCCAGCAGTAAGTGGTTTTTTTGAGGAAAAAAGCATTGAAAAAAACAGGAGAGAAAAAGTTAATTACCACAGAATTATTCCAAAACTACGCTCAAACTTTCAGAGTATTAGTCTAACAAGCATTCACACCCACCAACTTTATTTTAAGTTCAGCATTCTCTTTTCCTGAATATTTAAAAGTCATTATCTGACATACAATCATGGATATACCACAAAAAGTATCTTTTTAAAGCTCCACTTTCTTCTTCATGAAGTGATCTACTCACTTGTAAGGTGAGCTGTCAAATTTGGTCAGAAATAAAGACCCTTTAAACACTAGTTTGAGAACTACCAGTGCTCTCCCCATTACTTACTGAGATATTCCTTCAAGGCAAACACTTGGAGATGAGACAGTTTCTTTTCTCTCTGTACAATCTCCTCTCCACAAAAATGAGGCAGAGACTTCATGAAGTCAGCAATATGAAAGCCTGCACAGGCTATGAGAAATCTATTATTAAAATTCCCTCCCATGACTTTGGAGACACCAAGTCATTATTTCTTAAAAGACGACATAAACGCAGCAGACATACAAATTTCATATTCAAAGGAAAGATCCACACTTTCAAATATGGCTAATCAAACAAACAAACAAAAAAGGAAATTAATTACAATTGAATTAAGACACCAGAGGCATAATTTGGCCTAGACGCCTGACCAGTATTTTTGAATTTCTGTACAAAAGCAATACAATGACAACACAATTAACATGACTGACATTTAAAGAACATAAAAAGATCCTAAGTTTGATACCAGGAAAGAAAAAGTTTCTTCCCAACATATGGCCAAGGACTTTCAGTCTTCTGACACCGTACTAATGGGATTTTAATTAGGACAAATGGTAAGCAGTCAGTCATATCGCACATGGATTTATTTCAATAATAAGGAAATAAGAGGATAAGATGCAGGTCACTGTGCTCTTTTTTCTTTGTCAGCATTATTGAAAGCAAATACACGAACTAGCAGAGTTATCTAGTATGTGTAGTTGTTATAGGACAACTACTCTAAGATAAATGTCTACATACATGCTCTTACCTAGCGGAGCAGCTGATCATCTGCTAGCCCATATCCTAACCACTCTGCAGTAATATGGACATCTGCCAAGTAACTGAAGACATGATCATGAAATTCAACTTGCCTGCTGGCCTTGGGGGTTTTATTTTAAATCATCAGTGAAACAGGCTTATCAGCAGATAGTTGACTAGATTTTAGGCATAGGCTGGTCAGTCTTTATACTGACAATACATACTTTTTAAACTTCAAGTTGCTGAAAATTTGATTTGCATTAATATTACCTGGATGTCCCTATACATCAGAACATTTACAACTAACCACAGTTATAAGAAATGACTGACTACCAAAAATATGGTAGTAGTAAATTGTGTGAATAAATAAGCTCTTGTATTTTTTTAATCAATCTGAAAAATACTGCTGAAAGAATAGAGGTATTCATCAAAATGTAACATTCCTCCTTGTTTTCTCCCTTTTAACACAGACTGGAATGAATAAAAGGAACATACAAATTTTAGTAGCATTCGCCTGCACTCAGATACTCTTAAATAAATAAGTAATAATTCTTACTTGACTCTGTTTCTTCTGCTTTTGTCTTTAGTTTTCCATTTACTGCAGCAAGAGTGGCTGTGCCATTGATCTGGCTAGCTGAGTGAATCAAGGTTGCTTTACATCCTCCAGAGCCATTGCCTTGTAGCAAGAAATAGTACCGGCAAGATTCTCCTTTCAGTTCAATTTCTGGAACTTAAAAAACATCAGGATGTAACTGTGAAACACCATTGGGAAAACAGCTTTAAAACAAGGTATAATTTGCTATCACAATTCTTTCACTTGCTCTCTTCTCTTCCATGAGAAACCTCACATCTTTTTAGAAGACACACTAACTACAGCTGATATTTATCCGTTTAGAAGCTACAAACCGAAGAGTATGCAAAACAAATGAGCTACAGCAGCAAAAATGAATTGAACTACACTGCTGGCTTAAAGCTAGCATGTTACCAGCACTGAACTGCTGTGGCTGTAGCGAGGGCCAGCTTTCTAATGCAGGCTAGAAACTACATCTGGAAACTCTAACCACCAACCAAGAGAAGTTCTTGAATTGGTCTTAGTAAAAAGCAAGCCTTTCGCTGGCCAAGTTACATTTCTACCATGAAAAAATGAAGAGTTAGGCAAACAGTGTGCTACCTATGTAATGGTTAGAGAAGGATCTGTTCTGCTAGGTAAAAACAGGCATTTGTGCATATATGGATTGAAATAATGGTAAGTGTTCACTGGAAGAATATATATCTGTAGAAGTAGAGGAAGTACTGTACACTCTTCCAAAGGAAGCTGCATTATTCATTAACAAGAGTTTCACTCACTGCTTTACGCTTGTGCACATCCTGGGTGAGAGATAAACACATTCTATTTTTAAACACTGGCATATAGTATGCAGTTTTGAAAATAAATTAGTGTAGCATTTGACAGTAACAGCGAAAGGATGGGTTTGCTATCTTTTTACACAGAAAATATTTTATAGCACCTTGGTAGATGTAGAAATTGAGAGAATCACTTAATTCCATAAGATATTTGCAGTGCTGTCTCAATAAATAACTCAAAAAAGATTGACCTTTATATTTATTACTAACAAAAATTTATAATACTAATAAAGTATTCCAGTGTTTCTTGAAATGTTTAAGCTGGAGGGGGAAGGGAAAAGGGGAAATACCACTACCTTAATA